GGCTTAACTGCAAAAAAATAAAAAGGTAATTTGGCAATACGTGTCAAAGTTGCACTGTGTAATCAATCTCTCTACAGGCAACCCCACTCTTAAGAATTCATATAGAGCCCTGGCTGGTGTGGCTCAGTGGATTGAGTGCAGACCTGCAAACCAAAAGGTTGCTGGTTCAATTCCTGGTCAGGGCACATGTCTGGATGCACACCAGGTCCCCAGCTCGGGGAGTACAACAGGCAACCGATTTATAAATGTATCTCTTGCACATTGATCTATGTTCCTCTCCCTCACTCTCTCAAAAAAGAATTTTTTTTAAGAATTCAGATAGGGATATGTATATAAGGTGTGAAGTAAAGAAAAAATATATATTGGTCTCTGCCCCCAGTTCCTGGCAGAGTTCCTGAAGCCCTTGTAATTTCCTAAATAAGAGCACTATAAGCATCTCTTGTTCTAAAGAGGTGACTAGGTGGGCTCTTCGATGGGGGTTGGTCATCAGAAAGACTAGAAAAATAAGCTTGATTTTACACCTCATCTTTCAGAGAGGGGAGAGGGGCTGGACACGGAGTTACTTGGCAATGTGAGGGAGCCTCCATAAAAATTCCAATTGTAGGGTTTCTGGAGAGCTTTCAGGCTGGCACCCTAACTCCATGGGGACATTAGTTCCTGTGTTTGGGACCCTCCCAGACTTCTCCCTATGTATGCATCTCTTCATGTGGCTATTCGTCTGTGTCCTTTATCATATCCTTTAATAAACTGCTGACGTGTTTCCCCGAGTTCTGTGAGCTACATAGCAAAATGATCAAAACTGAGAAAGGGGTTGTGGAAACCTTCGATTCGTGGGTAACCTGGGTACCTACTACTTGCAAGTCATCTGAAGTGGGGTGGGGGACAGTTTTGTGGGACTGAGTCAACCTTTGGGATCTGATCTATGTCCAGCTGGATAGCATCAGAATTGAGTTAAATTGTAGGATATCCATCTGGTGGTGCAGAGGAATTACTTGGTAGGGAGGCTGGGGAAACCTCCATATTTGGTGACCATAAGTAAAGTGTTTCATGTGAATAGTAAAGGAGACACACTGGAAAGAAACAGAAGGGAAGAATTAGGTTTTTCTCTACATGGAAAGAAAAAAAATTGTTTCCTAAATGTAAGGCTAGATATTTTATCATCCTCACCAAAGGACACTTTTTCATTGCTTTTATTGAGAGAGAAATACATCTATGAACTACCTTCTCTTTTGCAATGCCACTGGGGATCAAACCTGCCACCTGGGTATTGTGCCCTGACAGGGAATGGAACTTGTGATGGAATGACACTCAAATCTGAGCCACACCAGCCAGGGACGTAAGGCTAGTTATTTGAGAGTTTTTAAAAAATCAGTAAATAAGGGAAAACAATGTCAATTGGAAATTGGCTAAATTGTTACTGTATTGAGATTACAATGAAGCCTTTTAAAGGTTTTTGGTTTTTGTGGGGGTTTTTTTTAGATTTTATTTAGACAGAAAGGGAGGGAGAGGGAGACAAACATCAATGTGCGGTTGCCTCTTGCACACACCCCACCAGGAACCTGGCCCTTAGCCCAGGCATGTGCCCTGACTGGGAATCAAACCAGTGACCCTTTGGTTCACAGGCCAGTGCTCAATCCACTGAGCCACACCAGCCAGGGCTAAAGATCTTGAATTTTTACATTCATAAAAATTGAAGTAACTCCATGGCAAAGATCTTAAAGACATTATGGGTAAGTGAAAAAATTGCAGAAATTAACACTTCCAGCTAAGATGGAGGCGAGGCATAGGCTAGTACACTTTGCTTCCTTGCACAACCAAAAGAAGGACAACAAGTTTAAAAACAAAAAACAACCACAACTGATAGAAAACTGAACTGTGTGGAAGTTCAACAACCGAGGAGTTAAAGAAGAAACATTCATCACGACTGGTCAGAGGGGAGGAGACAAGAAGCCAGGCAGAGAAGACTCCTGGCAAGGCAGCAGCTGGAGGATGGGGTAGGCAGTCCCATGTTTGCGTGTGGACAAACTGGGGGAACAACTGGGGAACAAGACAGACCACACAACCCAGGGTTTCAGCCCAGGGAAATAAAGCCTCGAAACCTCAGACTGAAAAAACCTGTGACCGCTGAAGCAGTGGGAGAAACCCCCAGCTTCACAGGAGAGTTCATTGGAGACCCACAGGGTCCTAGATCATACACAAAACCACCCACCCGGGAATCAGCACCAGAAAGGCCCACTTTGCTTGTGGGTAGCGGCGGGAGTAACTGAAAGACGGCAGAGAGCTGAACAAGCAGCATTGTTCCCTCTCAGACCTCTCCCCCATGTACAGTGCCACAGCACAGGATGGGGATTGACCCGCCCTAGTGAATACCTAAGGCTCTGCCCCTTGCTATGTAACAGGGATGCCGAGACCAAAAAAACAAACAAACAAACAAAAAAAAACCCCAACACACAACGATCCAAATGAAAGAACACACCAAAGCTACAGAAAAAATACAACTAAGCAATGAAGATAGCCAATCTATCAGATGCACAGTTCAAAACAGTGGTAATCAGGATGCTCACAGAACTGGTTAAATATGGTCACAAATTAGATGAAAAAAATGAAGGCTATGCTACGTGAAGTAAAGGAAAATGTACAGGAAACCAACAGTGAAGGGAAGGAAACTGGGACTCAAATCAACGATTTGGAGCAGAAGGAATAAACGTTCAACCAGAACAGAATGAAGGAACAAGAATTTTTTAAAAATGAGGAGAGGCTTAGGAACCTCCAGGACAAGTTTAAACGTTCCAACATTCCAAATCATAGGGGTGCCAGCAGGAGAAAAAGTAGAACAAGAAATTGAAAACTTATCTGAAAACATAATGAAGGCAATCTGGCAAAGGAAATAGACTTCCAGGAAGACCCGAGTGTCCGAAAGAAGTTGGACCCAAGAAAGCACACACCAAGGCACATCATAATTAAATTACCCAAGATTAAAGGAGAGAATCTTAAAAGCAGCAAGAGGAAAGTTACCTACAAGGAGTTCCCATAAGACTGTTAGCTGATTTCTCAAAAGAAACCCTGCAGGAAAGAAGGGACTGGAAAAAAGTATTCAAAGTCATGAAAGGCAAGGACCTACATCCAAGATTAATCTATCTAGCCAAGCTATCAGACAATGGAAGGGCAGATAAAGTGCTTCCCAGATAAGGTCCAGTTAAAGGAGTTCATCATCATGAAGCCCTTATTATATGAAATATTAAAGGGACTTATCTAAGAAAATAAAAAACATGAACAGTAAAATGATAATAAACTCACAACTATTAACATCCAAACCTAAAAAAATACAAAAACTAAGCGAACAACTAGAACAGGAACAGAATCACAGAAATGGAGATCACATGGAGGGTTATCAGCTGGGGAGTGGGATGTTGGAGAGAGAAAAGGTACAGGAAATAAGCAGCATAAATGGTAGGTAGAAAATAGACAGGGAGGTTAACAATAGTACAGGCAATGTAGAAGCCAAAGAACTTATCTGTATGACCCATGGACATGAACTAAAGCAGGGGAAACCAGGTGGGAGGCAGTGTGCAGGGTGAAGGGGAATAAAAGGGGGGGAAATGGGACAACTGTAATGCATAATCAATAAAATATCTGAAAATTGCAGAAATCAACATGTACTGTCTGATTCCACCTAGAGGTCTGAAAGTTCATGTGTGTACCTGTGTGTACTTTCGTTCACGTTTCCAGAGTTGGGTGCAGGAAACAGAGGGCAAGTAAAATTTTTCTATTAAACAGACACAGTAGCTTAGATTTCTGAGTAATACAGCAATTCAAGTCTAAGTCACTGTCATTACTGGGAGCGTAATTTTGTAGTTCCTTAAATGTTTCTTCACAGGTAAAATTATCCCAGACAATAGTGTTACTGGAGGGCTTCCACCCCTAGGGGCTGGACCTGCCACTGCCTGGCAGGGTCCAGAACCTTTCATACATCAGGCGACCTTGGGGTTCTTGATACATACAGGAAAACACAAGAGGCCAGGTGAAAGTAAGTTTATGAAGGCTTGGGACAGTGATGCAAAGGAAGGGCCCTTTGAGATAGGATCAGGGGTATGCCTGGTACAGCTGTCATTGCCATGGCTCCCCTGGGTGCAGATCTTGCCCAGAGCCTTAGAGTTTAATATAGAAGCAAAGTACATGCCAGAGGAAAGAGGAGTGTGCTCAAAGAGCCAAGGTGGTGTCCCTAGTCCTGAGGATTTTATCTATTTTCTATAGGCAGGAATTTCAGAGGATGTCCCAGGGGAGGACCTCAACAGGATCATTAAACTGAATGGAGTTTGGGGTCATATTCTGGTTAGTTTCACGTCTATCTTGGGTCAATCTGGCTCTAATTGTGGTAGGGTTGTTTTTTTTTTTCACCTATTCCCTAAAGCGATTTTAAACCCCCTGCTCTTAGATACCTTTGCTTAAGAAGGATTGAATGTTGTGATTTATCAGTTCGCTGTTACTTGCTGTGGGGACTTTCTGTCTCGGTTTTCCTCATCATTCCACTTGCCAGGGAATCCTAGTTTTTGTGTTTTTTTTGAAATATTTTATTTATTTATTTTTAGAGAGGGAAGGGAGGGAGACAGAGAGAGAAGGAACATCAATGTGTGGTTGCTGGGGGTCATGGCCTGCAACCCAGGCATGTGCCCTGACTGGGAATCGAACCTGCCACACTTTCGGTTCACAGCCCGCGCTCAATCCACTGAGCTATGCCAGCCAGGGGAATCCTAGTTTCTTACTAACATGCCTCAATAGATTATTTTCTCTGGTGACACCAGTAAAGCCCCTATTTTTATTCAGAAAAGGGTTATTTGAAATCAAGTATCTACAACTGATATATTGTGTAGTATGTTAATTTTATCCCAATCACGTTTTTAAAAAAATGCTCCATGTAGCAGTTCTGATAAGCACATTTCACTTCATGTAAATGTCCACTGTTGTTGGCAAGTTCCAGAAGAAAATGCTATTTTTAGGAATATGTTTGACTGACAAAGCTTGTTTTCATTTGCATGAAATGCAAGTATTCGGTGTCATACACAGGCCTCAAACCACACTTTGTATATTTATCACAGCAGTCACCCAGAATACATCTTACAACACCATGACCCCTGGGAAAGAGTCACACGCACTTTTAGAAACAGAAACACGTACACAACAGACAGGAAGCTGGAGCCTGAAGCCCAGGTGTTCTGCTCGCGGTTTTCTGCTCATAGATCTAGTCCAAAGGTCCTATCTTTCTAGCTGTTCCGGTTCCCGCGATGAGGGGCAGCAACTCCGTGTTAGGGCCACTTCTTGGTAACACTGAGGTGGCTGAGCTGGTCGACCAGCAGCCTGTGCTGCGGGAACTTGGCCTCGCCAGCCGCCTTTAAGGCCTGGAAGGCAGCTGCTCTACGGGCCGCAGCGTGCCCGAACTCCTGTGCCGCAGTAAGGAAGGGTGTGCTCAGCCAATAGTGGTTCTCTGCCTCCATCTCCAGGCGGCGGATTGTGTTCTGCTTCCCGTTGAAGGACACGGAACGCGGGCGCCGGTGCTTCCCGATCCACTGCCGGCCGGGAATGCGGTTGCGGCGCAACAGCGCGGTCAGGAACATGACGTCCGCTGCGAACAGAGACCGAGAACGGACTGGCTACGGGCCCAGCCGCGGGACAGCGGCGTACCCGTAAAAGTGGAAGCCCACTCACTATCCGGAGTGCACACTAAGGACAGCAAACTCACCACAGCCGCGACTCTGGAGCCCCGGCTCCTCACACGAAGGCTGGGGCACCGCCGGAAGTGCTTTCTCTTTTCGCGGCGCCCTCCTCCTTCGCGTGAGACCTCGGCTCCCGCGAGAGTTGACTCGTCAGCCAACCACGGCACTTAAAACGCTTCCGGGAACCGGAGATTCAAATGAGTGGCGGGCTCTGTGTTGCGTTTTGGTCACCATGGACCCGATCCGGAGCTTGTGTACTAAGCTGCGGTCTGTGGCGGTCACCTTGGACCGCGAGACGATGCGGCTGCAGCGTGCGTTGGAGGGGAAAGACAGCGGTGAGTGGGACGGACGCCCGTAGAAACGGGCATCCGTTTCTGATTGGGAAGGCTCTTTTTCCGCTGTGGGAGGGGGTCCGCGGTGGAAATGCAGCGCCCAGGGGCCGCCGGGCTACCCTCCCTAATTCCCTCATTTGTCCCCACGGGCGCCGTGAACTCAGCGTCCTCGGGAAAGAAAACAGCGCTGTACTGTGTAGCCGTGAGAAACGGGGGCAGTGGGAGTAAAACCTAAGTTGAGCTCAGCATGCGCACCTGATTTACACTTCATATGCTTGCTAGTTGCACAGAATCTGTGCTTATCAGTAACATACAATAGGAACAAAATTAGTGCAGCTGTTCAGCACTGTCCTCCACATGTATAGTAAGTGACTTTTCTCACCCAAATGGCCCACAGTTGCAGTAAGCATCTATTTTTCCCAACAAACCTTGTGGCCAACACAGACATCAGGACTCAGTACGGCTCTTCTTTTCTAGGTAAAGCAAAATTCTTCATCACTAACCTTTGTATTGATTTTTAAAAGTTGCAAGAGTAGTTCAGGCTTCATAAATGTCATCGTAATGTGCCTTAAAATATTGCACCCTGTAGACACAGAGTCCTTTTACTTCAATTATTTTATGAATGGTTATCCAGCCATTTAAAAATATTCTTGTGACTGTAAGAACAGTACAGGGTGGGGTAAAAGTAAGTTTACAGTTGTACGTGAAACATAGATTATTTTTGTATTATTATTTATTAATTATTGTTTTTTCCATATAAACAACTGTAAACCTACTTTTGCCCCACCCTGTATGTGTACATGGCAAAATGTTGACATACAGAAAAGTGAGATACGTCCTGTAACTGCACCATCAGAAGACATCACTCAATGTTTTAGTAGCTTTTCTACCATTCTTATTTTTAGAGTTTCTTTGTTTTTCTTTGATTTTGCTTACATAGTTGAGATAATGCTATAAGATAGAAAACTTTATTAGCATTTTGAATTCTTGATGTGTAGCTGAATTGCTTTCCGCAAAGCTTGTGCAAGTTTACCTTCTTACCAAATTATTACCTATGTACAAGAATTCTGTATTTTCTTTTGGTTTTACAAGAAAAAGTTGGATTAATTTTTCAAATTCAGGTCCATATGTATTACCGAAAATACAAAACTGTGAAAATTAGAGAAAATGATCACAAAAAAATTTTACCTTTTATGATCTCAGTGATGAGACATTAATTGGTTGACTTTTAAACATCTTTATTGAGATGTAAAATATTCACATACCATAACTGGCCATTTAAAGGATGCAATACAGTGGCTTTTAGTGTATTCAGAGTTGTACAACCACCACCACAATATATTTAGATTTTTATCACCCCCAAAAGAAACCCCTGTGACAGTTAGCGGTTCGTAGTCCCACCTCTACCTACCACACTAGCCTTATGCAAACACTAATCTACCTTCTGTCTTTATAGATATGCCTATATACTAGACATTTCATATAAATGGAATCATATATAGTCTTTTGTGGCTGACTTATTTCACTTAGCATAATGTTGCAAGGGTCCTCCATATCAGTGTGTATTAGTAATTCATTTTATATGAAAGTTTTTGTGTGAATATGTTTTCAATTCTGTAGGTACACACTTGGAAGTGAACTGCCGGATAAGCCTATGTCTAACTTTTTAAGGAACTGACAAATTTATTTATTTTTTTAATGAGCTGCTTATTTTATTCTGCCATGTAAGGACTGGTATCTTTTTCAAAATAATATTGCTAGCAACAAGGTTAATTGAAGAGTACTGATGGCTTAAGTTTGCCAAATGCTTATCTCTGAGAAGGTATAAATATGGATTATTAAAGTTGTCTACTCAAGTATGAAATCTATGCAAAACCCTCATAATAGAAGCAAAATGTTCAAAGGCCAAGAAAAAAAATTTTCTTTTACAAGAAAGTGCACTGCAGGGTCTTTTGAAAGATCTTCTAGATGGTTCTGCAGAAAACTTTAGCTCAGAAAGTAGAGTTCCTCATGAGGAATTCAAGTTCTTCCTAGAAGAATACAAAGCAAAATTTCAGGCAGCTTTCTGAAAATAAACATTAATTTGTGGACCACAATGAGACAAACAGGAACCTATAATAAGGAAGGTGTTCATACTTGCTGTGATTTACACAGGAACTTGGCAGAGCTTTTCTCTCTGACCTCAGGCCCTCAGGCCATCTCATAACCTATCTGTGGTAGTTACAGTGCTTGGCCCAGCACTGACAGTGGGCATGAAGCCAATCAGATTAAGAGAAAATCAGAAGTGTTTTCATGTGTGTTTCAGTGTTTTTCAGGTCATATCTCAATACTTTCAAATAAATCATTAAGATATACCATTCTTTGTTATTCTCAGTATTTTACATAGGTAGTGGATATTCATGGTCACAGAGCTCTGTATCAGTCCTCAGCAATACATTCAGACATCTGGTCAGATTTTCAGCATTTGTTTGGCTGCAGCTAGACGGGGTAAAGAAAGTTTTTCTGTCACTGGTGGAAATTGTCTTTGCTTTAGTGCCTCCAAATTGAGAACTAGCTTTTCTTTATCACCCAAAACTTCTGAAAATGGTGCCAGGTTGGCAAAGATTTTATTTGTTTTCAGGGAAATATCCTGTATAACTTGGCTTGGATTTCTCTAGATCTTCTGCATACTTAACAGTTAGCTGGCCAACTTCTTTGTGCAGTTTGTGCAGAGGTGCTGGATCGATTCCCATTCAGGGCACGTGCCTGGGTTGTAGGCCAGGTTCCCAGTAGGGGGTGCAAGAGAGGCAACCACACATTGATGTTTCTCTCCCTCTCTTTCTCTCTCCCTTCCCCTCTAAATACATAAATAAATAAGATATATTTATTTTTTAGGCCTGCTCTTATGTATATATGACCATCTGATTAATAAGAAAGGTGATAGAACAGTACAGTGTGTAAAAGATGTCTTTTCAGTAAATGGTGCTAGGTCAATTGTACACACATGGAAAAAAAGAATGGATCTTGATCCTTGCACAAAAATCAATTCCAGGTGGATATCTTCTCTAAATGTGAAAGAGAGCCGTAAACTTCTAGAAGAACGTGTAAGTGTTGTCACTGGCGAAGATTTTTAGAATAGGAATCAAAAAGTGCTCCCTGTCAGTGAAAAAGTCTCTTGGTTGGACCATATTGCCATCTCCTCTTCTCCTTCCCTTCCTGATCTGATTGCTGATTATGTCAGTGTTTGCTTTGAAAGGTTGCTTTGAAATCTCAAACTATGTACTTGAGATTTCTGTATTACTCTGTGTGTATGTTACAGATTAGTAAAAATTTTAAAGAAAGGCCTTAGGCCCTGGCTGGCATAGCTCAGTGGATTGAGCGCGGGCTGCTAACCAAAGTGTCGCAGGTTCGATTCCCAGTCAGGGTACATGCCTGGGTTGCAGGCCATGACCCCCAGCAACTGCACATTGATGTTTTTCTCTCTCTATCTCCCTCCCTTCTTTCTCTAAAAATAAATAAATAAAATCTTTTTTAAAAAAGGCCTTAATATTAAGGCCTTTATGATTAACAGGATATTAATTATAATAAATATCTACAAGGATTTTATCATTCTAAGAAAATATACTAAATCATATTTTGTATTTTTCTCTCCTTTTCCTTATTGAACTTTTTCCTTTCAATATTCATATTGAAGACTTTGAAGATTATGCAGTGAGAATTCTAAATGACCTTCATTCAGAAGTTCGGACTCTAAAGGTACCACTGCTACAATATTAATTTATCATTTTTATGTGGTAATTTTAAAAATCTGAATAAACTTAGCCAAAAGTTGGAGAAATTTTAATATCCCTTCTTTCTTCCTAAAAGGATAGTGTCAATATTCTTCTTGATAAAGCAAGTTTGGAAAGACAAGAAAGCATTGGTTTCATTAAGGCAACAAAAGTACTGATGGAGAAAAATTCAGCGGATATCATGAAAATAAGAGAGTTTTTCCAGAAGTATGGATATAATCAATGTGCCAAGAAAAATTCAGGTGTGAATAACTTGCATTATAGAGCATTTGTTTTAGTATCAAAGAGAAAGGGCGACACAATTCAATAAGACTATTTTTCGCCTGGTTGTGGTTTGTAGTTCTTGCTCTGCCATTATATCACCATCATTTGATCATTTATTCAGCAACCACTGTGCTGGATGCAGTGCTGATCAATGGTGCAGTATATGGTTCTTGCTGTCCTTTCCAAAATGCTGGACGAGAACTAACAATGCTAGATGCAAGAACAGTACAAGATATAAGTATCTATGTTATTTCAGTATAGTTGGTTTCTAGTTGGCTCTGCTAGTAAATGAGAGTGACCCTCAGGCATGTTTTATTTTTCTTATTCTCAAGTTCTTCTTCTGTAGAATGAGATTATTTTTGCCTATATAAATTGAGAATATCATTGTCAGTTTTAAAATTCTAGTGGAGTACGGCATAGTGGTTTTAAATTCAGAGCCAAACTGCCTGAGTTCAAATTTCTGATTCCACTTTACTAGATGCATTGTCTTTGACCAGCTACTTAGGCTTGTACCTCAGTTTTTCATTTGTCAAGTGGAGATGTAATAGTCTCTACCTCTGAAGTTGTATTAGGATTAAGTAAGATAAAATTTATTGAGAACAGTACCTGGCATATTAATCAGCAGGTGTTAACTATTGCTAATGTTGTTCCCTTACCTTTTGGTTGACCAATTTCAATGAGCTTCAGTATCATTTTTATTATGAGAGTAATCTTTTACATGAGTAAAACAATTTCAACAGATATGTACTGAGGATGTGTATGGAAGTTATGTAAACAGTCCACATAGTGTATGTGAGCAATTCAGCTAACTTTGGTTAGCTGAGCCATGAGCCATGGATTCAAACACTGGCTCCACCGTCTACATACTCTATACTTGTGTGATTTGGACAGTTTCTCTAAATTGCTTTCCCCCACTTATGAAATGGGGGTGATTGTGGTGATGATTTTATTTTATTAATCTCATCAATGACAGCCTTGTGATAAGTACAGGAGGTTTTTGGTAGTTGTAACATTTCAGAATTAGCAGAAAGCACAGTGTCAGGACAGAATTCAGTGAATCAGCAGCCTCTTACAAGGGCCAAAAACCATGAAATCAAAGTTTATTATAACTTTTTTAAATGTGTTTTGGTTTATGCACAGAAATAGTACCTTATCCTGCTTAACTTCCAGTTGCTGATCAAAATAAAGTGTGTATCTCCTCACTCCCTCCAGTCTGTTAGATATCTTAGTTGGTCAAATAAATGTACAGCCTAAATTTACCCCATTTCTCTTCTTTTGGACCCATAAGACTCTGACAGGGATCTCCACCAGTATCTCATAGACCCTATTTCATCTGTAGACCTTTCTTTAAAAGATGGAGAAAACAGAAACAAAAAAGGACTTGGCATTGAAGGTGCTATTCTGGATCATCTAACTGCAACTTCAGTTCCATACCAAATTCATTCATCAGTAATGTACCCAGGAAATTACACAGCACTGTGGGGAAAAGTAGAGTTGTTAGTCAATTACTTAATCTGAAGTGCTCAGTGTAGTGGTTAAGCATTAGGGTTTAGAGCCAGATATAACTCTATTAAAGGTTGAGGAAATACGTATCTTTCTAATGTTGTTATTTCTCACTAGGCTTTTGATACTTGTGTTCTAGACTGACAGGATTAAAATTTATCTATGTATATAACAGTATTTCCTTCATAGGCATCTATGAGTTAAATATCTAAAATAATATTTTTATACTTAATGTTAAATCTAGATTGTGTTAAGAACAATTGCTAAATTACATTAACTGGGGAAGTAATGAAATCAGACGTATTTGTGGGTATTGATTTTTTATCTTTTAACACTTTAGTTGACTTCCTTTCTCTAATGTCATCAAAATGGGATGTGGGTGGACAAGAAGTATATGTCAGAAATTTACTAAAGGTAGAAATAAAACAAAGTTTTAGAGACTAAGGACAGAATCAGGACTTTTGCTGATTTTGGACATTTCAAATGAAACTGTTTTATGTGCTTTTAGTACTTGAGATTTCCTGGTTTAATGTTTAAACAGAATATGACCTTCTTTTCTCCCAGAGGATGAGCAAGAAGTTGTTGACTCTAAACCAGAGTCCATTAGGGATGAAAATCTTCAAAAGTCTGATGTGCAGGATGATGTATCTAACAACAGGGACAACAGTTGTGTTGTTCCAAGCAGCTCTGTTTCTGAGAAGATTCCTTGTAGTCCACAACTTTCAGATTTTGGACTTGAGCGATACCTGATTTCTCAAGTTCCACAGAACCCTCCACAGGCAGTAAACAACCAAAAGGAAGAGCCAAAAATGTTAACTCCATCTTCCAAACAATCATTAGTTAAAATACTAAAAACTCCAAAATGTGCACTAAATATGGATGATTTTGCGTGTCTGACTCCTAAATTAGAGCATTTTGGTGTCTCTGAATATACTATGTGTTTGAATGAAGATTACACAATGGAACTTAAAAATGTGAAGAATAAAAGGTAAGGGGCTTTCTTAAAAGGCACATTTTATCTAACTTTCTGTTTCTTTTCTATTCATTGATTTTTCCTAGAAAAAATAGGATGTTTCAGACTATGGAGTTTTCAGATACTTCTTATTTCAAACTTCCCTGAATCACTAATTCTATCAGTAAAGTGTGAGCTATTGTGTTTTTGTGATTTGTTTGTTTTTTAAGGTAAGACACTACAGAAGGAGTGACACAGGCCTGAAAAAAATGGTATTTGGTGAGATAGAGAAGCAAGGGTAAAATTAGTAAGAATTTGTGTTATTTTGGTATGGAGACTTGGGAAGAAAAGGGGATCAGGGGTCAATCCCAGATTTCTGATTTGTTGCCTGGATGGCACTAGAAAAAAACTAAGGAATACCTGAACCTTGGAGGGACAGGAGATTTGGTACATGTTGATTCTGTGGTGCCTGTAGTGGTGCTCTTAAATTTAAGTATTTTAATATGAATTTGAAATTCAGTGATTAATTTCATGCTAAAGAGATTTAGAGTTATTAGTAAGATTTTTAGAAAGGTAGAATTGATCAATCTAAGAACTGGTTCTTATTTAAACATAAGTGCAAATGAACTAAGGGCTATGTTTTTTTATTTTTTAAGCTAATAGAGTTAGTATAGAGTATAGTACTGGGAAATTGGGGAAATTCAGATAAGTGAAAAATAACCACTTAATACGCTTTCCTATATTTTATTAATAACTAGTTGGAAAATATAGTGGGAAAAATCCATTCAGATTTGCAACAAAAAAAGTAGAATACCTATGCCACTTGTAGGTGAAAGGCCTGTGTGATTCAAATCATAAAGCATGTCTGAGTTGTATACAGGGAAAATTAGGATGAAGAGAGATATTATATTCCTAAATCAAATGCCTGAATATTATTATGTTTAATCATATCAAATTAATTTATAGGTGTCATGCAGTTACAACAAAGTCTCCATAAGATGTTTTTTAAGGAGAAAGAGGGATATTTGACAAAATGATCCTAAAATTTGTTTGGAAGAATAAAAAGGATAGCTAAAAAAATAATGAAAAATAAGAGTAATAAGAGAACTTGATCTATTAGATCAGGAGTGTCAAACTCATTTTCATTGGGGGCCACATCTGCTTCACAGTTGCCTTCAAAGGGCCGAATATAATTTTAGAACTGTATAAATGCAACTACTCCTTAACAGTTAAGCAAGATCTCAGCATTGCCACCAGGTAGAAACAAGGTAGAGGACTGGATTTGGCCCACGAGTCTTGTGTTTGCCACCTGTGTACTAGACATTAAAATATATAAAGCCAGAGTAAGTAAAACAGTATAAAACTTAAGAGAATGGATCTATAACTGGAACAAAATAGCCCATAAACAGACTAGTTTATAATGAGTTGAACTTAAAGCTTTCCTTGTATGTCAGAGCTTCTTAATCTACTTGTAAGTCAAAACTGTCAGTACAAAATGGTTCTTAACCTTTTTTGAGCCATGTTTATACGTTTAAAAAAAAAACGTTCCATGGGCCTTCTGTTCCATAAAATAAGACTGAACGTTTGTCCAGACTTGATGATTTATAATAAATAAGATTAAATTTTCCAAGAGGTTTAATAATACCTTTTTTATAACCCTGTAATTTCCCTATTAATCATGCCAGCGAGGAAACCATAAAAATGGAACCAATGTCCAATGATAGTGCCACTTCTAGTGTAATGAACAACCAATTGGAAAAAAATGGTAAGTGTGAAAATCAAGTTACTTCTCAGCTATGCTCTTTGCAGATGATCTTTGTACAGAAATGGTTCTCTCACCATAGGTATTCTAATAGCCTCTCAGTTGGTGACCTCGAGTTCCATTAAGAACCATTCCATTCACATTCAGCATGATATCATACGAGAAAGTTATATAATTTTCTGACTTGCTTTTCATAATCTTGTTATATTCAGCATTTACCAGGGGTTTTTTTTTTTGAACATTTTAAGTTAAAGCATACAAACATATTTATTCACCACTTTGTAAATATATTTTATTGATTATGCTATTACAGTTGTCCCATTTTCCCCCCTTTATTCCCCTCTGCACTGCACCTCCCCTTCCACCCACATTCCCTGCCCCCTTAGTTCATGTCCATAGGTCATACATATAAGTTCTTTGGCTTCTACATTTCCTACATTATTCTTAACCTCCCCCCGTCTTTTTTTTACCTAACAATTATGCCTCTTATTCCCTGTACCCTTTTCCCCATTCCCCTCCCTGCTGATAACCCTGCATGTGATCTTCATTTCTGTGGTTCTGTTCCTGTTCTAATTGTTTGCTTAGTTTGTTTTAATTTTTGTTTTAGGTGTGATTGTTAATAATTGTGACTTTGCTGTCATTTTACTATACATGTTTTTTATCTTTTTCTTAGATGAATCCCTTTAACATTTCATATCATAAGGGGTTGGTGATGATGAACTCCTTTAACTTGACCTTATCTGAGAAGCACTTTATAATGCCCTTCCATTCTAAATGATAGTTTTGCTGGATCGAGTAATCTTGGATGTAGGTCCTTGACTTTCATGACTTGGAATACTTCTTTCCAGGCCCTTCTTGCCTGCAAGGTTTCTTTGGAGAAGGCAGCTGATAGTCTAATGGAAACTCCTTTTTAGGTAACTCTCCTTTTCTCTTGCTGCTTTTAATACTCTCCTCTTTAATCTTGGTTAATGTAGCTAAGATGTGCCTTGGTGTGTGCTTTCTTAGGTCCAACTTCTTTGGGACTCCCTGAGCTTCCTGGGCATCCTGTGTACGTACGTGTATGTACGTATACACACCCATATACAATAGTTCTCTATTATCCACTGGAAGAGCAGCCTGGAAGTCTATTTCCTTTGCCAGATAAAGGAAGTTCTCCATTATTTTTTTCAAATAAGTTTTCCATTTCTTGCTCTACCTCTTCTCCTGCTGGCGCCCCTATGATTTGGATGTTGGAACTCTTAAAGTTGTCCTTGAGGTTCCTAAGCCTCTCCTCCCTTTTTTGAATTCTTGTTTCTTCATTCTGTTCTGGTTGAATGTTTATTTCTTCCTTCTGCTCCAAACCATTAATTTGAGTCCTGGTTTCCTTCCTGTCACTGTTGGTTCCCTGTACATTTTCCTTTATTTCACTTTTCATAGCCTTCACCATTTCCTCTATTTTGTGAGCACATTCAGCCAATTCTGTGAGCATCCTGATTACCAGTGTTTTGAACTCTGCATCTGATAGGTTGGCTGTCTTTTCATCACTTAGTTCTGTTTTTGGAGCTTTGATCTGCTCTTTCATTTGAGCCCTTTTTTTTTCTTTTGGTTTCCCCACCTGCTACATAGTAAGGGGTGGAGCCTTAGGTATTCGCCAAGGTGGGGCAACCCATGTCCATGCTTTGTGGGGGAGGGGTCCGATAGGGAACAATGCCACTTGTATGTGGGGGAGCGGTCTGAGGGAACAATGCTTTATGATTATGCTGTATCTCTCCCTCTCTTTCTCCCTCACTTCCACTCTCTAAAAGTAAATAAATAAAATCTTTAAAAAACAAAAATTAAAATGAAACACACAAATTTTATTGGCAGGAATTATAACTTAGAAGTTGAAATCTGTGTTTCAAATATTTATTTTCATGCAGTTGTTTGTCTGTCTTTTAGATACCAAATATACAAAGTCTCCCTTGCCTCCTACGTTCTCTACTCCAGGTTTGAAAATTCCTTCTACAGAGAGCAATGCAGCCTTGGTAAATTTTCATAAAATTAAAAGCTCTAATATTGTTCCTAATAACTCAGATACACTACTGTTTCTGAACTCAGTCTGTTTAAAAACTTAGAATAATGCATACTTTAATTGTATATTTACTGTATACTTATGGAAGGTAATTTAGCAGCACTTACCAAGAGCTTTAAATTTTTTCATACCTTTTAACCATGTCTTGGAATTTATTCCTAAGGCTCACTGTGACATACTTACTATAACAAGTATGTTATTTTTCAGAGCAAAACAGAAAAGTCTAAATGTCAAATGTTAGAGAGGAAGTGAGATAAATAAAGTATGTCAGTAAAAATCCAGTTACCTATCATGTTTTTGAAAAACAGGTAAGTTTTTAAGAAGTATTTAATTATATGGAAAATGACATATATGTACGTATACACACCCATATACAATAGTTCTCTATTATCCACTGTTTTGTTTTCTGTGGTTTCACTTACCTGTGGTAAACCACCATCTGAAAATATTAAATGGGATATTCCAGAAATAAACAGGTCATAAGTTTTCAACTGTGCTCCTTTGAGTAAAGTGATATAATCTCTCACCCTCTCACTCCATCTCATCTGGGATATGAATCATTCCTTTTTCTAGCATGTCCACACGGTAGATACTACCCTCCTGTTTTAGTCACTTAGTAGCTATCTCAGTTATCAGATCAACAGTCAAGGTATCACAGTGCTTGTGCAAGTCACATAACCTTTATTACAGTATATTGTTAAAATTGCTCTATTTTATTAGTAGTTATTATCTTACTGTGCCTAATTTATAAATTAAACTTTATTATAGGTTTATATAGGGAAAAACATAGTACATACAGGATTCAGTTCTATCTGGGGTTCCATGCATCTACTGAGGATCTTGGAACATATTCCCTGTGGATAAGGGGGGACTATTATATTTTAAGGAAAAAGAATAAATAGCAACAAACCAAAATGCAGTTATTTATGGGCCAATTTTATGCTTTTACCCCCAAAATTTTCCTTAGTGAACAAAGTGTAATCAAAAACCTCATCCCTTTTTAATTTTGATATGGACAATTAAGACAGCCCATGTGGTAGACCAAGCCATCTGACAGAACTTTTTCTAGTGATAGAGATGTGCTATATTCCATGTGCACAGTAGGGTAGCTACTAATCACAGCTAGCTATTGAGCATGTAAAGTGTGGCAAGTGCATCTGTGGAACTAATTTTTTAAAATTTTTTATAATTTTAAACCACCTCAGGTGGCTGTGGCTCCTGTGTTGGACACTAGCTGTAGAGAAATAAAATCCTAGGCTTCCCTGAGATAAGCTTTCTTCATCTTTGTGCCGTAACTGTCATCTGGCCCAGTTAGGGGGGTGAATCATCTGAACACAGGGTTCAGTTCATCTTTCATATTAGGCTCTAGGTCAGCTTTTATTGGTAATGGAGATAGTACTTTGTTTTCCATATGCCATTTCTTTGTTTTCTTGATTTTATTTAGTACTCAATCAGGGAAGAGGGAGTTGTTTATGGCCTATTTTGCAACCTCAACAGAACCAGTAATTTTTATTTACTTTATACTACCATAATTTAATGATTTTTTTTATTCATTAGGTATCCACAGGTTATCAATTATCAGAAACAAATAGTTCATCAGATGATTTGAAAATGAAAGACTGTACATTGTTAATTTTAAATTCAGACAAGTGCTTTGAGAATTGTGCTGCTCCTTCTTCCCCTGTGATTTCTTCTTATGAGAATCTGCTCAGAACACCCACACCTCCAAAAGTAACTGCAATTCCAGAAGATGTTCTCCAGGTTATTTTCCAGGCTGTTTTTTTTATGATATATTTATTTCAAAGTTATTTATATAATCTCTAGTGTAAACTATGACTTATCATTGGGCTATGTACTGGTTTGGGTATTGAAAATATCTAAATTCTGTGCTGCTAGGCCTTTCTTATACTATCTGGCTAAGATTCTTCTGAACTGAGCAAAACCTAGTGCTATCCTCATACTTGTATGCTACCAGGGCATATTCTCTTTAACTTCATATTCAGAAATGTATTCTTAAAATATTTTCTAATAGTTGTTCAGCTGTGGTGGCCATGTTGACCATTGTTTCCATGGGAGGTGTTGCTGGCCAAATCAGGAATGTCATTTATCTTACAGTTCTCCAGAGGGAGGGGGGGTATTATGAGTAACTTACATTAGTGTTTCTTGAACTTCAGATGTCTTAGACCTCGGTTTGAAAAACACTGATTTAAATATGTTAGAATCTCCAACTCTTTAGTATAACATCATTTACTACTAGTCAACTACTGACTTATAACAACTGACAAATCTAAATAATCACCATTCTGATTCTTTGAGCTTTCTCCTCCCCCCCTAAGAGTTATAGTGTTGAACAATTATAATAACCATTCTAGCAACGTTCCTAGCTTATGGAAAGCTATCAGAGATAAAACCACTTAGCAAAATATCCAAATGCAGTTAGAACAGACTCATCCTAAGATATTAGTAGAGGGTTTATTACCCTCCTTTTTCTATCTTTTCTTTTTTTTCTGAGCGTTGTAACAAACTGAGTAAGGAGTAGCTTCTGTCTATAAGGCATTATATACAGTTCCATTTCCTTTTTTATTTCCATGTTAAAAGAGGGGAACCTTGTCAATCATAGCTGGTATTTCAGACTTTTGTAATCTATGTAACTAGCGATCTTTCTTTTGAACATTTATTTTGCCTCAATCCTGTATGTTTTCCCTAATATCTTTGTAAAGGCTTAATTTGTTCACACACACTGCTGCTTATTTCTATTACCCCCAGTGTACATTTTAGAAGGCTTTGTCAAGCCTCCACAAGCAAGTTAAATTTCTAATATTGCCATCATTTGAGCTATGCTGATAATAGATTCTTACTGTTTCAAACAACCCACACCTTCAAACTTCCTTGGGTTTCTTGAATGTTTTGTAATACCTTCCAAATTTATGTTGTTCAGATGACTTAATAAAAACTACTTTGCTTGGTTTTAGATTTTATCAAAATACAACACAAACCTAGCTACTACTCCAGTAGCAGTTAAGGCCATGCCTCCCAACAAAGCATTCCTCACTAGATGCGAAGGACAAAACAGCTGAGATGTTGGCAACAAAAAACGAATGAAAGTGAGTATGTTTACCATTCTAAAGAAAATATATTTTGCCGTGTATAATGCGCACTCTTTGCCCAAAATTTTCAGGGAAAAATAAGGGTGTGCATCATCCGTGGTTATAATGGTTACGATGTCATGGGTATAATAATCCCATGTATAATATACCTAAAAATGTGGATGTGCATTATATACAGCAAAATATGGTACTTGTCATTTGAGCAGAACATCTGAAAATTAGCATTTGAATGGTTGTAAAGATAATTTTTAACTGACATTTGGCAGCTTGGGTTAGCAGCCTGTGTCTATGTGTAAAACTTGTGATCTCTAAATCTGACTCCCACAGTAGCTAGTTTGATTGATAATATCATTGGGAATTTATCCCTAATTTCTTTATAGAAAGTATAAAACTGTATAACCACAGTGTTGTATCATTTGTTGATGGTTATTAATTATACCTGATGTTTTTTATTTGTGTCCTTTTGCAGGAATTCTAGTGGATCCATCCATCTATCATAGAAACTGAAGAGAATGAGATGAAAGCAAAGCTGGACTTACTTTGTTTTTTACATTCCCGTGTCTCCTAGTTTAAAAACCAACCCATATCAAAAATGGGCATGGACATTGATGTCATAATACATTTTGTATTAAGTTTTGATTTAGTTTAACCTCAGTATTGTTGAGATACAGCTCAGTAATCTAGTTTTTAAATAACATTATTTCAATGATTTCAGATTTACCATATCTAATCTAACAATGGATTAAGTAATACTACTAGGAAGCAGGACCGGTAATTTTTCAAATTTAACTGTTGTTCACAGCTCAAATAAAGTCATCTCCACTCTTCTCTAAGCTGGTTAGTTACTATTGTCTGCTAGACACCGCTTCTCCCTTAACCCTAATTCTGCCCTTCCCCCGTCCCTCCATAACTGTCCCAGAGTCTCTTACACCTTTCATTTCAACATTTCTCTTTTAAAACACAATTGTTTTACAAATGACAGCTTAATTTAGGAAAAGAATTTACAGGCCAGGATAACTGCACTGTAGCAGGTCTCAGGTATTGGAATCAGGAACTCACTTGCTGTCAGGATATATTTCTTTTTACTCCCAAATGTTTTACTTGGTGTCCATTTCATCAGGTCAACTCAGCTCTTTCCACACATGGTGCTGGCCTCTCGAAGTTCCTCTCCAGTGGCTACCCAGACCCTGAGGCCACCTCTGATTCCTCTTCCTGGGCCAAGTGCCCTTCTCCAGACTGTCGGCTGTGGCCACAGGAACCAAAAGACTGCATCTAGAACCATCTGATAGCTTCACACCTTCCAATATAAGTACAACTGAATAGTAGTTTTATCTAAGTTCATGCAAGTACTTCAGCAAGTGTCTCAGATTATAGCCAGTGGGAAAATAAGAACCTAGCATATTGTGAAGACCATTTTAGAATTTGAGAAAAAACAACTGACAAGTAACATGACAAGATGCTTCACAGGCTTAGCTATGGGAAATTTGATGCAGTTGAGTACCCTCTTCTATAACTATGCCTTCAAAGTCTCTTCATTTTGTCAGAAAATTGTCATTAAAACCTGATTTTTTCTGTGTTCCAGGAATTACTGTGTAGTTGTAATTTTTGTTAAATTTCTATCAACCTTTTCACCATTTACTACAGCTTGCATGAACAGAAATGCACAGGATGGGTGGACTGGAGGGAGGGTCCAGTGTCCTAGGACTGAACATGGTAGACAATCAAGCGAACAAGTCTGAAATCAGTAAGTAGGAAGAAAGGATTTCAAGGTCAGTATTGCTGAGAATCCAAGTAAGGAGACAGAGTTGACCATTGGACTTGGTGGCAAGATGAATATTGATGGCACTGATTTTGATTGTGTACTGGGGGACTAAAGAGGGAATAGGGTGAGGAAAACGGACTGAGATCCCTTTACATGAGAAGTGGTGCAGCGGTTAGAGGGTGATAAGGAGAAAATGTATCTAAGATAGCCCCTCAAATTTAATTTGTCCAAAGTTTCTCTTTCCCTGATCCTCCTGTGATCACAGTTTCTGTTACTTAGAATTAATGATGCTTCCAGCTTATCAAGCTTCAAATGTGAGCATCTTTAAAGCTTACCTCTCTGCTGAAGATTGTCTTTCCATTCCTGTAAAAATTAAACTCAAGTTTGACCCTATATGAACTTCTCCCTCTCCTATAAGTATGCTATCTGCCCAGAATGTGTATGGGCAGGTGGAATCTGTGACTTTGTCTTCATAGATGCCTGGTCATGACTAATCCTTTCTAACAGAATAAACATTCCTCTTTCAAGCTTGTTCCATTGCAGACTCCAAGTAATTCCACCTGTTGGCAAAACTACCTGTATCTAAGCAATAAAATACAAGAACATGGACCTCACTTGGCTGCTCAAACTGGGAACTATGACCATATTTCTTTAAAAGAAGTGTGTTCAATTCCATCAGGGCACATACAAGAAGCAAACAATGAATGCATAAATAAGGGGAACAACCAATTGATGTTTCTCTCTAAAAATCAATTTTTAGGAGACTTCCGGCAAGATGGAGGAATAGGTGGACGCACTGTACCTCCTCACACAACCAAGATTAGAATAATAATTTACAGACAGAATAACACCCAGAACTGACAGAAGATTTATCTGAATGGAAGTCGGACAGCCAAGAAGTTGAAGTAGACCCCTACATCCAGACTGGTAGAAGACGAGCCTGGCGGCCGCGCGTTGGCGGCACGTGGAGGTCGGGGAAAATTTGGCGTGAAATCAGCGCAACAGCCATCCTGGGCACAAGAACGCAGCAGTGATCCCTGAGTACGCAAGCTGCGGCTGGCGGACCCAGTGAGGTGGCGATTGTGGACCGGGGCAGAGCTCGCAGCCCAGGATCCCAGAGAAGGGTCTGAGATCCCAGGAGAATGGAACTACCGCCATTGTTCCCTCCTGTCCTTGCTCCCGCCCCCGCCCCACATATAACGTCACAATCTAGCAACTGGGGTGCCCAGCCCCGGTGAACACCTAAGGCTCCACCCCCCACTGTAACGAGAGCTACCAGACCAGGGGAAAAAAAGAAGAAAAAACAAAAGGAGAGACAGGGAGAGACATGTTTCCAACAGAACAGATCAGTCCCCCAGGACTCATCCTTTTGAGTGACCAAGAAATAGCCAATCTATCGGATGCACAGTTCAAAACACTGGTGATCAGAAAGCTCACAGAATTGGTTGATTTTGGGTGCAAATTAGATGAAAAGATGCAGGTTACCATAAAAGAGATGCAGGAAGATACACAGAGGAGAGCCAATAGTGAATGGAAGGAAACTGAGTCTCAAAACAATACAGTGGACCAGAAGGAAGATAGAATCAACCAAGCAGGAAAGCACAATGAAATAAGAATTCAAAAAAACGAGGAGAAGCTTAAGAGCATCCAGGACATCTTTAAACGTTCCAACATCCGAATTATAGGGGTACCAGAAGGGGAAGGGGAAAAACAACAAATTGAGCACGTATTTGAACAAATAATAAAGGAGAACTTCCCCAATCTGGCAAAGAAAATAGTCTTCCAAGAAATCCAAGAAGCTCAGAGAGCCCCAAAGAAGTTGGACCCAAGAAGAAACACACCCAGGCACATCATAATTACATTAGCCAAGGTAAAAACGAAGGAGAGAATCCTAGAAGCAGCAAGAGATAAGGGGACAGTAACCTACAAAGGAGTTCTCTTCAGATTGTCAGCTGATTTCTCAAAAGAGACCTTACAAGCAAGAAGGGGCTGGAAAGAAATATTCTAAGTCATGAAAGACAAGGACCTACATCCCAGATTGCTCTATCCAGCAAAGCTCTCATTTAGAATGGAAGGGCAGATAAAGTGCTTCACAGAGAAGGTCAAGTTAAAGGAGTTCATCATCACCAAGCCCTTATTTTATGAAATGCTAAAGGGACTTATCTAAGAAAAGAAGATAAAGAAAAAACATGTATAGTAAAAGGACAGCAAACTCACAATTACGAACAACCACACCTAAAGCAAAACCAAAAGAAACTAAGCAAACAACTAGAACATGAACAGAACCACAGAAATGGAGGTCACATGGAGGGTTAGCAACAGGCAGGTGGGAGGAGGAGAGAGGGGGGAAAAGGTATAGAGAATAAGTAGCATAGAATGTAGGTTGAAGATAGATAGGGGGAGGGCAATAGTACAGGAAATGTAGAAGCTAAAGAACTCCTAAGTATGACACATGGACATGAACTAAAGGGGGGGAATGTGGGTGGGAGAGGGGGTACAGGGTGGAGGGGACAGAAGGGGGAAAATGGGACAACTGTAATAGCATAATCAAGAAAATATTTTTTAAAAAAATCAATTTTTAAAAAAAGATGTTCTGCTTTGTGTAAAAACTGAAACAGGTCCACAACTCCTGGTGACTGCCTCAGCAGCAATTCACAATGCAGAGGATAACTTCCCAACAGAAGCAGTATCACTGCAGTGGGACATATGGAATTCATATTGTGCAATGAATTGAGATCAGAGAAACTATGAAACAACACTTTGCAAATATAGTTCCAACTAGTTTATTGTTGGCCTGTTACTTAAAGCAGGTCTTAATTTCATCTGCAGGTGGAAACTAGTCATTGTAGCTCAGTGAAGACAAATGAGATAATGCAGTGTAAGTTCCTTAGCACAGAATCTGACACAATGAAGCACTCATACCATATTTTCCTGTGTCTAATGTGCACTTTTTTGCCCAAATTTTCTGAAATATCTTGCATCTACTGTTGTGTTTTCTAATTGTTACGTAGAATTTCTTGTACCATACATTCAAAAATTCAGGAGGGGTTATCTCAGGAGTGAGGAGTCCCACACCATGGTTCCACTACTAGGAAGTCCCCACAACTTCTGGTTGCAAAAACCAGTGGGGATTGCATCAGTAAAGAAGCTGCTACAGTCCCAAGCAATTCCTCTTTAAAAAACCACACACTGACTCACCTACACAGATGCACTCCATCAGCGCTCTAGTGCCAAGGTGGCAACTCAAAAGGCACCAGCAGCATATTAGGAAAGGGTGAAGTGTCTGGCATTGGGATGAGCAGAAATCACTGTCCCCTTTTCTGAGGCCTCCCCCAACAGCCACAGAACATGCACACCAGTGCCATATTTGAGACTCCATCCACCTGGCTAACATTTTGACCTGCCTTGGAGATCCCCAGAGACTCCCCCACCCAATTTACAGGCACACCCAAGCTGCTTTTCCATATGAATTGTGTCTTGGCTCATGCTTCACAACTTCCTAAATCCTAGTAAAAACCCAACAGCTGGCCTCAGTGAGCTCCAGGCCCCACACTAGCAGCAACCAGATTAGTTTCACAGTTTGGCTTTGACTGGGAATCTCCAAACCCAGATTAAGTAGCAGCCATCTCAGATTGCTTTACAGCTCAGGCAGGGTGCCCTGCGAGAAACAGGTGGGGGCTGACCTTGGACCTGCACCACCTAGGAAACCCCAAGGCCAGCACACCCAGTGGACCACTACAGACCATTTTGAAACACCAACACCACCACCCTGGCCCTGCACAACTGACCCTCCACGGATGGCAGAGGTTGGTAGTAACTGGTCAAAGCCAATTCCTGCAGCTGACTGACCTGAGTAAATCCCTCACACTGATCTGCCAAAAGCAACCAAAGCTCTACGATAAGAGGGTGTGTTCAGCCCACACAAAAGGTGTACTTCAAATACCCAGTTTGGGTGATAGGAGAGGTGGTGCCACTGGACCTTACAGGACATCTACTACATTAGGCCACACTACCAAGACAGAGTCAAAGCAGCTCCACCTACTAATATACAGAGGAAAACTCAGGAAGGCTACCAAAATGAGACAGAAATGGCCCAAATGAAAGAACAGATCAAAACTCCAGAAAAAGAGCTAAACAAAATGAAGGTAAGCAATCTATCAGATGCAGAGTTCAAAACACTGCTTATAAGGATGCTTAAGGAACTTAGTGAGGACCTCAACAGCATAAAGACCCAGTCAGAAATTAAGGATTCACTAACTGAAATGAACAAGTTATAGGGAAACAAGAGTAGAGTGGATGGAGCCAAGAATCAAATCAATGATTTGGAACATAGGAAGCAAAAAACCACCAATCAGAACAAGAATAAAAAGTTCCAAAAAATGAGGGTAGTATAAGCAGCCTCTGGGACAACTTCAAGAGATCCAATTTTCGCATCATAAGAGTGCCAAAAGGAGAACAGAAAGAGCAAGTAATTGAAAATCTACTTGAAAAAATAATGAAAGAAAAACCCTAATTTGGCAAAGGAAATAGATATGCGAGTCCAGGAAGCACAGCAAGTCCCAATCAAGTTGGACCCAAAAAGGATCACATCAAGACACATCCTAAGATGCTAAGGGTTAAAGATAAAATCTTACAAGCAGTAGGAGAAAAGCAGAGTTGCCTACAAAGGAGTCCCCATAAGACTGTCAGCTGATTTCTCAAAAGAAACTTTGCAGGCTAGAAGGGGCTGGAAAGAAGTATTCAAAGTGATAAAAAGCAAGGACATACAAGCAAAGGACATATTCAGCAAAGCTATCATTAAGATTGGGAAGGGAAGATAAAATGCTTCCCAGACAAGGTAAAGCTAAAGGAGTTCATCACCACCAAGCCATTATTAAAATAAAATGTTAAAGGGACTTATTTAAGAAAACAGTGATCAAAATTATGAACCTTAAAATAACAAACAACTATCAACAACTGAATCTAAAAAATAAAAACTAAGGAAACCTCCAGAACAGAAACAATAACAGGCATGGGGATCATCTGGAGGGTTATCAGCTGGAAGGGGGAAGAGGGAGAACGAGGGAAATGGCGTAGGCATCAAGAAGCGTAATTGGTAGGAATGAAATAGACAGGAGGTTGTTAATAATAATGTAAGAAAGGGAGAAGCTAAAGACCTTACCTGCCTGACCCACAGACATGAACTGAGATGGTGGTGGGATTTCTGTAGGGAAGAGGGTACCGGGAAGAGAGGGGCAAAGGGAAAAAAAATTGGGACAACTGTAACAGCATAATCAATAAAATATACTTTAAAAAAAGAATTGAAGTTTAGAGAATTTTAAACCTTGCCTAGCAGTTTAATAGCTTTCTCTTCCCCTCACACCTGCTTCTCATATGCACACACATACACGAACACTAAAGCACTAAGCAAGCTGCACTCACAGTGACCATTAATTTCCTACATTACATTTGAGGAAACAGTTCAGTTCCTCAAAGCCATATGCTTACCAAAGCCAGAGATAAACAAGGACTAAACACAAGTCTGGATTTTGGCATTATATTCAATTAATTTCACTAGGTGTTAACTGTACTTTTAGTAGATTGAAATCTTTGAAGGGAAAATTCCTTATTGGATCCAAGGAAACAGCCCATATTATTTTAAGCTAGTGAGAGAATAACCAAGAATTAAAAGGAAGCCCTCATTGTTAGAAGCTCATAACACTGAAAATCTGGCCTGCAAATGTCTTAGTTCCTGCCTTCATCTGCATAGTAAATCATTTTCTTCCCCACAAACAGGAAGCAATCATGGCTCTTCTCCAAAAAGTTAGGTTGAAATTAAATGTGTGGCTCATAGTACTCAAATCTATCTAGTGTGAACGAATCAAGATTCAGCATTTGGGGTAAACTAGAAGAGGCACTAGATCTAGTTCTTGGCTTGCCTCTGCCACCTGTTGACTGACTTTGCAATAGATACACTAATTCCATGTAATAACCAGATTTTAAAAGGCTGCCCTTTGTCCAGGGTATCCACACTTTATGCTACCCACCTGCCAGTTTATAGCCCTCTCAGTTGTTATAATTCTATTTATTAGTTATGGCTGTTAATCTCTTACTGTCCCTAGTTCATGAATTAAACATTATCCCAAGTACAAATGAATAGGAAGACAGTGTACATCAGGTTCAGTACTATCTACTATTTTAAGGAGTCTTGGAAAGTATCCTCCACAGAGAAGGGGGTATAACTGTAGTCACACAAGGATGTGTAAATACCCTCACTCAATTTGACCTTATCCCAGGCTCTTCTCTCTTGGCCTTGATTCCTCTTCTATCCCTCCGGCCATTTTCAAATATTCTTCAAGGAAAACCTTTCCTTCCTTAAGTTCTAGTCCTTGTTTCATCTATACTGCCTCCTGTCCTTCCCATCTTTAAAACACAAAAAGCCTTCACTATGGCACCAGTTTTCCTTTCCTCTAACTTTTTGAAGAGTTGTATTTTGATTGTTCTATGATTCAGGCAGGCCAATTTCTTCCATCACTGATAGGTTCTTCAAGTTGCCTTAGCTCAAACTACTCCAAAATGCCTCTGTTGCCATGCTCAGTCACGTAGGTCCTTTTTCTAAGTCCACACCACTGTCTACGCCACAAACTCATGCTGTTTAATTAATATAATCTCATGGCTTTCTTGTTCTGCCTACTTGGCATTAAATACACCAACCTCCACTCCTCAAAATGAATCCCAAATACTTAAACCCAGTTCCCATGCATCCATTAACTTTCACACTCAGGTTGATTGCACACGTATATTTAACAACAGTTTTACACAGAATGCTAAGAGCACTTCTTATTTTATAGGACTTGAAATGTGGGCTATCTGTTAAAATTCATACCATAGCACAGCCAAACCTAACTTCTAAATAAATGCATTAAAATTTGTTCAGAGCTTAAAGGCTTAATGGCAATAATGAAGGGAAGGAAAGCATAAATTTATTTTACATAAATGAGTGAAAAGTAAAGAAATAGTCAACAAAATTTAATATGGCCTCATACGGCCTGAAGGAGGTGGTGCCCGATTCGGAGGGGTGATTGCTATGTCCAGATAATCTCCTATCTGAAATTTCTGCGACTGCAGGGTCATGGAATCATCAGTCCCCTTTCTCCCAGACATGGTGCTGCCAATCTCCTTTACTCTGCAGAAGAAAACCGACTGTTAATATAGCACAAATCATGCAGCTCCATACATACTACAGCGAACACAGGACTTGATCTGCTCCATTATCTTACAGAATAAACTAGATGTTAACATAGTACAAATCTATATCCCCCCACCATGAGATTCACTAAAGGTGTTACCCCTATCAGTTTAAAACATCAAAACCAATGCAGATTCAATCTCTGGTCAAGGCACATACAGAAGTCAACTAACAAATGCATAAATAGGTGAAAACAACAAAATCAATGTTTCTCTCTCTAAAATAAATTGAAAGTAAAAAGTTTTAAAAATATGTCAAAACCAAAAAGACATTATAGAAAATAAAAACAAAATGTTACCTACCGATAGCCAGGTCTTTTAATATCCGTAAAAACAATCGCAAAATTGAAGTGTGTGCCCTTCTTCCTGGCTTCTGGGTAGACTTCTTTTACTAAACTAGTCAGCTCTTTCAAGGTGGCATCCATCCTGAATTAAAAAAAAAAAAAAAAAAGACATTGTGTTTGATTAATCAGCAACAATATAACAAGGATATGAACATAAAAAGAGTTAATTAAATGTGTCTGAATTGTGATGTCAAAAACAAAGTTTTATAAATGTTAGTTTTAAAGCCTCTAATAATACTATCTGCCCCCCAAACACTCCCCTTACCAGCCTCAATGTTTGAAATTTTGATGAATTAAAGCCTGACTATCAGTGCTAATAGAGTTATTATATATGCTATCTTTTACTACTATGTAATACGTTACTGGCCTAGTGCTTTACCCCCTTTAAAGGTAACTAGTCCAAATTAATCCAAACATTTAAAACGATTATGTTTTACTATTTCTAAGATACAAACTTTCCCACATTTAGCATCTCTGGAATTGGAATGCACCTTGGAACAAATGTGAAAGGAAAGAATTTTCATAAATATGCGCAGTGTTTTTTCCTAAGGAATCTTATGGCATGTTTTACAACAGATAGAGTCCAAAAGCAAATGAAACATGAAAACTTCACAACAAAGCACAGGCTCCTTTCACAATGTATATTCTTGTCCTGAACATATTTTTTTGAAACTCAGAATTTAAAATGGCACAATCTTTTAAAATATAGGCATCTTGGAAACAGTAACAATTCAGTATAAAATTTAATAGTTTTCTTTCATGACAACTGGGAAAATGAAATAAACAACCTGAAACTTCAAACAGCATTGCCATAAGGTGCAAAAAAATGACACAAGAATACCAGGCGTTGATGAAGAATAAGAACTCTAAAATATATCATCAAGCAGGGAGTCATATGCCCAAGAGGTCATTTGGTTTTAACTGCACCCTATTTACAAATCTCCATACTACATCACACTCAAGTAAAACCATGGCTCTCAAAATATCCAGGGTGACAGCATCTCCATTCTCTACTGAGGCTGACTCTTTCTCATATGTCCATAACAGAACAAAACAGCACCCCCCCCCCCCACAAAACATGCCCTTCCTCTCATATTACCATCAAAACCACCATTACCTACTTGGTTGCCCAGGTCATAAACATAAGAACTGTTCAATTCCTCCCATCTCTATTCTGTTGTATCTACCTCCTAAATACAGATCAAATCTATTTTTTTCTCCTTGACTACCATTACTGTTTTACTTCAACCTCTCATTAGTTAACTCTGGTGACTTCAAATCCTTTCTCTCAGTTTTCTGAAGTTTGTTTTTGTATAGTATGTATGTCAAGCAAGCAACTCCTGTTCCCATCTTTGGGGAGGAATCCCATTATTGGGAGGGCAGCAAAGAGTATTACATCTACCACCAGAAGCAGCATCCGAAGATAGCACCCCACACCGTGGTTTGCAGGTGCCAGGTTGGCAAAAAAAAAAAAAACATGGACAATACATTATGCACACAAAGACAAGCAAGATTAACTTCAATAGTGAGTGCATGTGGGTACCCCACTGCCAGCAGGTCTCAATCTGTAACTGATGCAACAGAGGTGGTCTGCATGCATCCGTATTGTGCTGCAGGTGGAGGATCCTGCGTACAGCAGCAGGGTTGATCTAGTGTTATATGACACTTAACCAGAACAAAGAACACATCAAGCCCAGAAAAGGAAAAGAAACTCCCAAAGAGAAATGCCCAGCACAGGCTGTGAGAGGTCAGGCTGTGAAAGCTCTTCATTTCTATCCAAGGAAATACTCTGGGCCCAAGGCTACTTTTCTGCAGCCTCTGCAAAGGGTAAAAAGCTGGACAAGACTGCCTTTTCCAACTTGCTATATGTTCATTATTGAAGAAGGGGGGGGGGGGGGCACATGCAAGAATACAATAAATTATAGCCCAAACTCACCAACCAGAAATAGTGGATTAGCATCATTCTAGGAAGGCATCTTTTTTTATGCCTTCCTAGAGCATATACACAATGCTACAGAAGAATTTAATATTATCAAGCATATTATACACGCTGAGGTAATAACACAAATAAAACGCATGAGATACTATAAATATTTTTGAGCAAATTAAGTTTAACTTGAAATTAACAGAAAGAAATGAAGTCAAATTAAATGAACTGTAAAACTTCAGAGATTTTGTTACTCCCCTTCCTCTCTCTCAAATCAATAAACATATCCACATATCCTCAGGTGACGATTTAAAAAACAAAACTGTTCTTTCAAATAAATAAACAGATAGATGGATAAGTAAGTACATAAATAAAAAGCTTGAATACAGGGGTGAAGAATACAAGAGCCCCCTTGGGGCTTTAGTCTTTGCTAGGTGACTTTGAGGATCACTTTCACATGTCAATGTGATAAAGTTGAAGCTCAGTTATTCAAACACGAATGCCTGTGCTATGTAAGGCAGGGATGGTCCCAGACTCACAAGCTGTGACCACAAGGGTAAACAACCAATACTTTACAGTGTAATTAAGTTAAATGTATTTTCAACTTATGATATTTCCACCTTATAATGGGCTTATTGGGACATAATATCACGATAGGTCAAGGAGCATCTATATTTTGTAGATGGAATTAAAGCATATCCTCAGTTGGATTTTAAAGAGATTATTCTAGATAATCTGATTATACCTGATTCAATCAGTTAGAAGGGCCTTATCAGGCAGCAACTATAGCTTTTTAGCTCCTGTTTGAGAGTTCCAGCTGGCTCTCCCAGATAACCTATTCCACAGATTAGGAATTGAAGAACCTAGGCACAATTTAAGCCAATTTGCAATAAATCTCCTAATAATATATAGCTCCTACTGGTTCTGTTTTCCTGGTTGAACCCTGATACAGTGATGTAATTCTCTTTCAGTAACCTGTTTGAAGAACACCCAAGTACAGGAGAGATACCACTCTTGTGGCATCTGGCTTGTTCCCCCAACTCCACAAAAGGACTTGGACTTTGGCAAGCTTTGCTTCTAGACTTCCACTCCTTTTCCTTGACTTGTCTTAGGGCTGCCTACTTTACAGTTCTTCAGTCCACTTCTACAAGTTGAGAATTCCAAAGCTTTGTTAACTAATCTCCCTCATTACTGCTCTGGAAATGGGGGCAGAGCTTTGTGCTACCCCCACACTAACCATCAAGGCTATCTGTCTTACTTGGACACCATTTTCAGGTATAAGATAAAGATGTCTTTCCTCGTTTGATTGCATTTTATGGACAGGATAGCTTAGGACAGAATTTTTTTGAAATCTTTTTTCTCGATTGGGAATCAAGGGTCTGTTAAACAATCTCACCCTGTCATCTTCACTCTGAATTCTTAAGTGTTCTCATGTGCTCTTGTAAACTTGCTAGACTGAACTCTCCATACACTTTAAACTATATGGAGATTGAGTTTACTTACTACACCTTCTTTAATTTACATCCTCAAGGTCTAAGCACAGCACCTGGTAAATTGGAAATCTTATTTGTTGGAGAAAATATACACTTTAATCTCTAAACAGAAGTTTTCATCAACCCATTAATAACAGTTCTTCCCTGTAAGTTAAATCAAACTTCCCAGAACTTTATTCTGGAATGAAACTAAACTGGAATAATACTATTACATAAATTTAACAAAGACAAGACCCCAATTTTTAAAGAGCTGAGTTCTAGTACCTTGGTTTTACAGTGTAAAATTGGGGAACATAAGCTACTGTGTGAAATAGTTTGGCAGTTCCTCAAAAAGTTAAACATAGAATGACCACATGATCCAGCAACCCCACTTCTGGATATATACCCAAAAGAACTGTAAGCAAGGACTCAGAGACTTGTACTCCCATGCTAATAGCAGCAGCATTCACAATGGCTAAAAGGTAGAAAGAGTCCCCCAAATGCCCATTAATAAACAGACAGACAAAATGTGGTGTATCCATACAATAAAATATTAAATCAGCCATAAAGAGGAATGAAGTGGTTATATGCTACAACACAGATGAATATAAAAAACATTATGGTATATGAAGTAAGCCAGACGTAAAACAACAAATATTACATATGTCCGCTTATATGAAATGCCTAAAATAGGCAAATTCATATACACAAAGTACATTAGTGTCTACTGGGGGCTAGGAGAAGGGAAGAATGGGTAGGTATTGCTTAATGGCTACAGAATTCATGTTGGAGGAAATAAAGTTAGGGAAACAGATAAAAGTAACTGATGCACAATGTGACTATATTTAATGCCACCAAATTGAACCCTTAAAAAGAGTTAAAATGGCAAATATTCGCATAACACCAATTTTAAATAATTATACGTCCTTTATTGTCACTACAAAGCCACTACGGGCCCTGGCCGGGTGCCTCAATCGGTTGGAGAGTCACCCGCGTGCACCAAAATGTCTCGGGTTCTATTCCCGGTTGGGGCACATACCTGGATTGTAAGTTTGATCCCCAGTTGGCGCGAACACGGAGGCAATCAAGGGATGTTTCTCAAATCGATTTCTCTGCCCCCCCACCCCTAAAATCAATAAACATATCCTCAAAGGAGGATTTTTTTAAAAGGCCACTATGACACCAAACCAAGGAATTCAGACAGTCTGAAGAATGTGATTCGGAAGTAGATAAGGTACATAAGGGATCAACATTGGGCGGTAGATAGTTCTACACTGAACATGTGTCAGGGGCTTTTCCCTTCGGCATCAAATCAATTATTCCGTTTATGTTGATTTTTTCAGGATGCCAGGGCAGCTAAGATTCAACATCACGTAAAATGCTCCTTGAGGATGATATCCCTGGACAGCATGGCTCCCCTGACCCTGCTACCCAACCTGACCCTGCTACCCAACCTGACCCTGTTATCCCAGCACCATTTACTCCACAGTGAGCCCCTTCAAGGTGTCTACCGCGCTTTAAAGGTTTACACACCATTTTCGTGCGGAGCAGCCGCCAAGTGTTTACAACGCAAAAGGTTCACCATTAAGCGCAGAAGCGTTACAAGACAGGCCAATCCTTTCGCTCACCAGCCCCCTCACTGCGCGAGACGGCGCCCGCAGGCCCAGTGGCGGCGGCTTCCCAAACCCTCTCCGCGGAAACCGGCCTCCGCCGCCCGCACGCGCCCGCTCACCAGGTGTAGATCTGCAACTCGCTAGAAGGCACGTTCCCGCGAGAGAACTCATCCATGCGGTGGTGGCGACCGTTGTTGGTGGTGAAGACGCGGAGCAGCAGAGGGCACGTCTGAGGGTGGGAAGAAAGCACGAAGTGAAGCAGGGCAGCCAGCGCGGGGTTTGTGCCTCCTGCCGACTCCGCTCTGCGCTCTGCCAGCCTTTCGCCACCTCGTCCCAACCACTTACCTTCTCCCGGTCGATTGGCTTCTCTGGTTCTTTCTTAATTTCCTCCTGGGTGACGCGCGACTCCACCGCCATCTTCCTCCGGTGGCCCGCAAGACGTTAGCTCCAACTTCCTACTTACTCAGCAAGCAGAACTGGAAGACGAGCGTCTCGCGACACGATCCGGCTTTAAAGCGAACTGGAGGTGGGGAAGGGGCGGGGCGTTTCTCCGCACAGGCGCACTTAGTTGTGCAGTGCGCAAGCCTGCGCAGTCCTCTCCTGTGGGTTGCGTAGTCCAGTGGGAGGGGGCATTTGGCGCCCTCCCGCGGGACGTCTACAGTATTGGCTAAGGAAGCTCCCAAAGGCATTTTCGCTCGAAATGATAAAACCTTAACACAGAACTCTTAAGGGCAGCACGTAAGTAAAAAACATGCTTGAACTTAGCAAAATATGGAGCTCTTCTTTTTTGGTGGAGGATGGATAGCATGCTGTGAAAAGTACTCGAACCCCAGTTGCTTAGCTGCCCTAGCTACTGGGACATGGGGGTTCGTGCCCAGGAAAGCACTCAAAGCTGAGGGGACGATATGCGTCATCTGTACCGAGGGAAAGGACTCTTTCCCCGCCAGCACACTCATAATTTCTGGTGAATCAAAGACCTGAGCGGGAAATACAAACCCAAGAGTTTCGGAAATAACACAATAGACCATCTTCATGGTAGGGATAGATGACAACAAAAAGCACTAACCAGAGAGATTGACAGATTTGATTACATTAAAAAACTTTTTTAAAAAGAACACCCAACCTGACCTTCAAAATATATCATAATGGATGCATATGACTAACAACAGTAGTGTCCAGGATATTTAAGAACTAAAGCAAAAGACACATCCCAATAGAAACGTGGGTAAAACTATGGAATGTTTGCTTTTAAAATAGAGAAATCCAAATGGCCAATAAATGCATATGGCGCTCAAGTTCATTGCTAATCAGGAAATGCATTAAAATCACAGTGATTGGCGTTCATTGATTGGTTTTAAAGCAATTACACGCAATAGCTTAGTAAAAATTAAATTCTGACAGTTGAGTTAGAAATTTCAATAACTCTCTCTAGTGGGGTGGTGAGAATGTCAACTGGTATGCCCCTTTGGAATGTAGTTTAGAATTATTTGGTAAATTTGGAGATACACTTTAGATCTAACAATTTCACTGGTATTCATCCCCAGAGAAAATCTTGCTCAGCTGTATCCAGAGACATTACAAGAATGTTCATAGCAGCATTGTTTATAAGAACAAAAAGTTTGAATAACCAAGTGTGTATCAACATTATAAAAGTTCAAAGAACTGTGATATAGATACAGCACAAACTATTAAACATCATTGGAAAATAGAACATAATACATGAATAGCAATGAACAAACAATAGTTACATGAATTTCATAAGCATAATTGTGGGTCTAAAAAGCCAAAGACAAAAGAATATATACTATTGGGATCTGTTTTAATAACATTTAAAAGCAGGCAATACTGTATTGTTCAGGATGCATCCCCAAGTGATAAAACAATAAAAAGAAAAGCAATGATTATGACAAAGTCAGAATGGTAATTACCTCTGAGGAAAAAAATTACCACTTGGGGGGAGAGGGGATTGTGATCAGGGAGGGGCAAAGGAAGCACTTCCAGAGTGCTGGCAATATTCAGTTTTTTGTAACTAGGTGATGACTACATAGTTTTTTATTTTAAATTGGTCATTAAACAGTACATTTATGTTTTACATTCTCTTCTGTATGAATGCTATATGTTTCTATTTTTAAAAAAAAGCCCCCCAAAGAAAAACTGAATGCCTGTAAATAGATAAGAAAAAGACAAACCATCCAACAGAAAAATGAGCAAAAGGCATATAAGCCTCTCAAAACAAATCACATGTAAATATGAAAAAATGCCCAACTTCATGAATAATCATAGAAATGCACATTTAAATCCCATGAGCTAACAGTTCACTCTACTAGACTAGCCAAAATACAAAAGTCTGACAACCCAGTGCTGGCAAGGAGATGAAGAATGGAGAATTTTTATAGGCTTCTTTCATCCACTTTGTAAAAATCGGTGTCACCTAAGAAAGATTGGATGGGTGTACACGATAAGACCCAACTATTCCATTTCTATTTGTTTACCCCAGAGAAACTGTTAAACATGAGTGCCAGGCAACATGTTGAATAATGTTTGAATAACTAGAAAGGATCTGAATGTCTACCAAGTGTATAATTATAAAATGGAATACCATACTTGAAAGTAAATGAATGAGTCAATATGCTTTTTTTAAGGATAGAATAAAAGAAGCAAGTGACAGAAAAATACATACAATAGGATTCAACTTATGCAGAGTTCGAACATAGAAACACACTCCCCCACAACTAAAAATACTGTTTAGGGAAGAAACAACAGGTAAAACTATAAAAAGAAGCAAGAGGATGATTAACACAAAATTCAAGATGATGTTACCTTTGAGAGTAAGCTGGGGTGATAAAATTGATGAAGGGCATCCAGGGAGCTTCTCAAATACTACTAATGTATTTCTCAGTAGAGGGGAGTGGGTTTTTATTCTCTGCTTTTAGCTATACGTGTTAGATACTCGTGTGTGTGTGTGTGTGTGTGTGTGTGTGACTCAGATCAATGTTAAAAAAAATTGTTTAACCTCTTAGGAATGAATGGGACCTTGAATACAGTCAATATTCAGTTGTTTTTTTAAAAGATGTTTAAATGCCCTGCCCAGTTCTATTATTCTATTATTAAATCCTTTTCAAAACCTCCATAGTATATAAAATAAAAATAAACAAAACAAAAAATCTCCATAATATAAAAATACAGATACATGTCGGCACTCTAATCAATTAAAGGGAAAATCTTGGAACTGTACAAATGAAGAATCTAATAACCTTTCACTGGTGTTATTGGGAAGTTTAGTTGCTTAGATATAAGCTCTTATTTTGGACCTTTTCAAATAACAAGGTCTTATCAAAATGGAATTTCCCAAATTTTTGTGGCAGTGAAACTGCAGCTGTATTTCAGAATACTTAAGGTAGCTTTTCAGCATCCAGCAATCCACGTACCTGATGTTCTAGGCCCTGCTCTGAACACAAAGTATAGTATATAAGTATATGCATCCTTCTTTCTCTTTACAACTCACACATATGAGTATTATACTTCTCGGGTTGTTCCAAGAGCCATCTCAAGCCAGTAGAACAGAATGAGGGGTTACATTTGCTTGTCACAGAGTTGAAATATCTCACTTTACCCCCTATTTTAAGCATTTGAATGATTAGATTAAATATTTTTTAAACACATCCTTTTCCTCAAGAGTCTGCAGAGTGTCAACAACACTAGAAGTGCGTTATAGAGGTCAACCAAAAGGATTAATTAGTGGTTAAAAAAGTTTACTCTGTAGAGTTAAGTAGACCTTAAATTTAAACTTTAGCTTAGTCATTTGCTAGCTGGTTAATCTTGAATCATTTAACTGCTCTGAGTCACAGATTCCTGATCCATAAATTATCATAATAAAATACCAAATAGCATCTTATGAGAAATAAATGCATCCAACAAAGACAAAAAAAGAAATAAATGCATCTAAAGTAGTTGACTTAGTGTCTGCCACAACCTAGGCACTCAGCAACTGTGAGCCATCTTAATCATTATCGCCATGGAGATTCGACATCATTTTGCCCTTAGGCAAGGGGGGCAAATTCAGAGGTTAATTGTCCATGGGTTGCTAATCCCATGAAAACTTTATTTAAAAAAATAAAATAGCTGTCATAATTATTTAATTATAAATCTTTCTTAATTCCTAATGCACATTTATATAAAGATGTGCTAACCTTCAGTCACTGCAAGATACTGACAGCATGTTTTATCAGTTTCTTAAAAAGCAGCTATGGGAATTATTTGGGTAGGTATTTAACCATCAAATCTCTATGGAGTACTTTTTTAAAATTATGCTCTGTTGATTATGCTATTACAGTTGTCCCAATTTTCCCCCCTTTGCCCTCCTCCACCCAACCCCACCCCCCCTCCACACACACACACTCCCTTGGCAATTCCTGCACTGTTGTTCATGTCCATAGAACATGCATATATATTCTTTGGCTACTATATTTCCTATGCCATATTTTACATCCCCATAACTATTCTGTAACTACCAACTTGTACTTCTTAATCCCTTCATCTCTTTTGGCCCATCCCCCTGATTCCTCCCACCTGGCAACCATCAAAACATTCTTAGTATCTGTTTCTGTGTCTATGATTCTGTTTCCATTCTGTTTGTTTGTCTATTTTGTTTCTTAGATTCAATTGTTGATAGATATGTGTTTATTGCCATTTTATTGTTATTTTTAATCTCCCTTTTCTTCTTAAAGAAGACCATTTAACATTTCATATAATACTGGTTTGCTGGTGATGAACTCCTTTAGCTTTTTCTTGTCTGGAAGCTCTTTAACTGCCCTTCAATTCTAAATGATAGCTTCACTGGGTAGAATAATCTACATTGCAGGTCCTTGCTTTTCATCACATTGAATACTTCTTGACAGTCCCTTCTTACCCACAAAGTTTCTTTTGAGAAATCAGCTGGCAGTCTTATGGGAACTCCCCATGTACGTAACTAACTGCCTTACTCTTACAGCTTTTAAGATTCTCTCTTTGTCTTTAACCTTTGGCATTTTAATTATGATGTGTCTTGGTGTGGGCCACTTCAGGTTCATCTTGTTTGGAACTCTGCACATCTTGGACTTGTATGTCTATATCCTTCACCAAGTTTGGAAGTTTTCTGTCATTATTTTTTCAAATAAATTTCTAATTCTTTGCTCTTCCTCTTTTCCTTCTGGTTCCCTCATGATGCAAATGTTGGTATGCTTAAAGTTGTCCCAGAGGCTTCTTACACTATCCTCATTTTTTTGTATTATTTTATTTTTCTTCTTGCTGTTCTCAATTGGTTGTTTTTTCCTTCCTTATATTCCAAATCACTGATTTGATTCTCAGCTTCATCCACTCTACTGTTGATTCCCTATAAATTGTTTCTTTAAGTAGTGTATCCTTCTTTCTGACTTGATCTTTATGTTGTTGAGGGTCTCACCAAGTCCCTTGAGTATCCTTATAACCAATGTTTTTAACTCTACATCTAGTAGCTTACTTA